ACCCAGGAGGCGGAGGTTGCGGTGAGCCGAGATCGCACCATTGCACTCCAGCCTGGGTCACAAGAGCGAAACTCCGTCTCAAAAAAAAAAGAATAAAGTGAATTAGGGCTGGGCTCGGTGGCTCATGCCTGCAATCCCAGCACTTTGGGAGGCTGAGGTGGGCAGATCACCTGAAGTCAGGAGTTCGAGACCAGCCTAGCTAACATGGTGAAACCCTGTTTCTACTAAAATTACAAAAAATCAGCCGGGCGTGGTGGCATGCACCTGTAATCCCAGCTACTCAGGAAGCAGAGGAAAAGAAAATGGAAGGAGGAATGTTTTCTGGTAGAGCCATATCCTGAATCATCCCTAACACGTGCTGAGTAATAACCTAGCTTCATCCGGAGACCAACCCAGGGACCCATCTCCACCACATAACAACCCTAAGTCAGGATACCACTAGAGGCATCCACAAATTAAGACAAGGATCTTCTGTTAGGAGAATCCACACAAGGCATTCCAACCTCAGCTTCCACCTTACCCAGACCGGCAGCCCTTGGGAAAAGCTGCCCCAAAGCCATCCAAGTGTGCCTGGTAGGCACACGGTCATGTTCAGTTAGGAAACTCAAAGCCAATTTTCAGTTTTCATTTTTCATTTACTACCAACACCAAAAAATAGGGAGATCTCATCAAAATGTTTGAATTGTGACCTCTCTCGAAAAAGCAGAAGACCTGGGAACCCCGGGCCCACCTCCTGCAGGCTGCATCCCTTGAGTCACAGCTGCCCCATTGGAAGCATAGGGGCTTCCTGGCTGGAGACATTCCCTACCACTCCTGTTGTCTCCCTGCGACCTGAGGCTGAGCCTCAAGGGCTGTTCCACATCTCCCTGGCACTGTCATTTTTGTCACACCTGCCCTGCTTCACTCACCAAAGATACCTGCTTGGTCAGCATCTAATTTTCAACCCCAGAGCTAACCATCTATGGTAACTAAATGTTTCCAAGTGGATGAGGAACATAATTTCTTTCTCTCTTTTTCATTCATACCATGTGTATACTTTTGCCCTCCCTCTTGATCAGTGACCATCTACAGACAGAAAGCATTATTGGCCAACAACCAATTATCAGACACTTGAAAAACTCAGTCCCTGTCCTCATGACCCTTCATTCTGGACATTTGGTGATCCTGGATCTCCTCTATTCTTAATTATTTACATTGATAGAACAACTTCATGCCAGACCTCTCAGCCACTGTAAGCAGCCCAAAGGCAGTATCTGCAAAGAAAGCCTAAGTCACAAGGAAAGACACATTCTAGGTAGAAAGCACTTGACTCAGAATCAGATCTTTTCTAGGGAGTAAATTAAAGGGTGCAATCACTTCCCACGGAAGAAGATAGTTAATCCCTTAGGTGACTTCTGAATTGAGCCTAATGTCTCAAATTTGGAGTCACTATCGGAAGTGGGTGATGTGTAATAAATATGTGAAACTTCATTTCTACTCTGTGTTCATCAAAAGATAAATGGATAAACTAAATGTGGTTTATATATACAATGAAATACTATTTAGCCTTCAAAAGTAAAGAAAGTTTCACACATCTATATAAATGATCCTTGAAGATACTACACTAAATGAAATAAGTCAGTAACAAAAGGACAAATGCTATATTATTCCATTTACACAAGGTATTTAGAGGAGTCAGAGGGACAGAAAGTAGAATGGTGAGTGCCAGGAGCTGGGCAGGAGGGAATGGGGAGTATGTGTTGAAAGGGTACAGAGTTTCAGTTGGAGAAGATGAAAAGTCCTAGAGATGGATGGTGGCAATGGTTGAACAAAAATGTAAACGTACTTAATACAGAACTGTATCTTAAAAGTGGTTAGAAAGGTAAATTTCATATGATGCATACTTCAGCAGGATAAAAGAGGGGGAAAAAAAAAACCTAAGGAGGGCACCATGTTGATATGGGCCTTTCTTTTTACGGCTAGGAAAACTTACGAAGTTCACAATGTGAGTCATAAGGTGATGTTCAGTCTAATGAAAAATAGAAGTACACTAGCAGCAGCATTACAATGTCATGTTCCTCTCCACTTGGCCCCACTGGGGGCCGGCAATGTTCAAAGGTCAAGACCCGGCCTGACATGCTGCCCTGGTTCTGCCTGACCTGGAGGACCCATCAGATAAGAGGGTCCATATTCACGCTCAAGGAAAGCCTACCCTGGGGGGTCCAGCTTACAGCTGCACCAACCGGCAGCTTGGGGGGGCTACACCAACAGCTCATTTCAGGCAATGAAAACCTTAACTTCCTACCTATTCTAAGCACACACTACATCTTGCACTTTTGTGCAAAACGTCTGTTCTTGGCACAGGTGTGACAGCAACACTGGATAGGTATACCAAGTCTGTACACATAATCAGGCTTTCAATCCATCTGTTTTGGCCATGGAGAGGATGAGGATGGTGATGGTGATGGTGATGGGGGAGTGGGTGACAGCAACCCTGGGCTCAGAGAACGAACACTGGCACCAACCCTGGGCATTGTTCGTTTTACAGGCCACCATCTGTCAGCCAAGCCAGTGGCAACTGCACTTCTAGACTGTGCTTGTAAGTAAAACAAGGTTCAATAAATCTTGGCATGCAAGTGGAAGAATCATCTCAGGAGTCCCTGCCGCATGACAGTGTGAAAGTGAACTCATGCAGGATGAGCTTGGGTGGTCAAGCAAATTTTACAGAGATGCTATAGGAGCACTGGAAACAGACTTTTATTTAACAGAAACTTACACACACTTGGTACAAACCCTACATTATGCAAACCTTTATCACAATTCTACACAGGTTGTCACTTGTGGGAGTTGGTTGGAAAGCAGATTATTATGATCATTATTAGCATTTTGACAAGGGACATTTTCTACCAGAAAACGTCAGAGAAAAGGGCTACAAAATGATATAGACACTCTCGGTGATCCCCTCCACCACCAGGACTGGCTTTGAACAGGAAACCTGAAGGGACTGGCAGGAAGTCTGTGCCCACCCACCCTCCCCTGTCCGAGGCAAGAGATTTTAGTAACACTGTGACTCAAGGACCTCTGCTTGTGTGTTAGATTATGACTCTGCTTACAAGGGAGGGAAACCCAACAGCATGGCTGTGTGAAGGTCCAGCACAGCGAGGAGCCTGCGGGTAGAACCCAGTGGCTCATCCAGTCAGCCCTGCACCTTTGCTGGGCCCAGACACAACACTGAGATACATCCCATCGGCCAGAATGCCCACTTCCGCCGATGACCAGAAAGGGCCGTGTTAGTATACTCGCCTTCTTCCATGGCCCCAACCAGCAACTGAATTCGAGGTTCCCGTCCTTCAGGCTGGCTTTCCTAGCCCTTGGGGACAGCTCTGGAAGCTGAGGTCCCAGAAGCCAGTTCAGCAGAAGGTTCTCTTTGCTCATCTCTTCTAGGAGTTGTTAGGTGACTGAACTAATATCATCTTAGCTGATGCTTTTATTTTTGCTATTTTTTTTTCACTGCATTATTTTAAACAAAGCTCTCTGTGTTTGAATCTATTGAACTTGAGGGGATATATTCCATCACTAGATGGAATTCCTTTCTGAGCTAGACCTCATCAGACATGATAACCAGGAGTCAGGCTGCTTCTGACATTCAGATAAAAGGGGCTTGCCTGGGCTGTGGGGGCAGTGAGGGTAGGGGAAACTGCTGATTTGTGGCTACGTTATTTCAGTCAAGTCTTAACACACAATCATTTAACATCACCAACATTTTCAATAGGCTTTTGAAGGAAGGGAAAAAAAACTGATCACTCCTCACTTACCACATCCAACTCGCAGAAATAAAAATACCTAAAGCACATACATGAATGGCTTTTTAAAAAGCCCGAGAGAGCAGAGTTGATCTTTATTTTCTTATTAAAAATGTGGGGTATTTTTCTTTAGAGTTAATATGCAGTCTTTTATTTTTACAGTAAATACTCTTATGATTTCATGTCTTCACAAATTGTGTTTAACGTTTGAAGTAGGAGGTACTTTCAACAAAAATACTGTGCAATGCCAGCACTTTTTCCTTTGAAATATTGAAATAAATAAAATAGTTAACTCTTTTTTCCGTCAGTTTGTTTGTGTTCAGTTATTTCTATTGTAGAGCAATTCCAGGCTGACCTGGGTACTTTCTCACAGACAATCAAAGAAAATGTAATGAAGAATTTTAAAAAGAAAAAAAAAAATCTTCTTATTGCACAAACGGAGGCCATTCCCAAGGCGTCTGTGAGCTGAGCTGAGCTGAGTTGCGCCGCAGGATTTTCCACTTCCGTGTTGGCTCCTGTGTTTTCTGAAACACACGCACAGGAGGGGGCTGGACAAGGGAAGAGGAAGAAGAGGAGGAGGAGGAGGATGAGGAGGAGGAGGAGGAGGAGAAGGAGGAGGAGGAGGGGGAGGGGGAGGAGGAGGAGGAGGAGGAGGAGGAGGAGGAGGAGGAGGAGGAGCCAATCATCCTGGCTTCTTTTCACCTTCTTCAGAAATGGCTTGCTTGAAGGATGCTGGAGTCCCCAGGTCACAGTGTTGACTGCAGAGGGAAAGGCAATGAAAGATAAAACAAAAAACAACAGCATGGAACAACTACCTAAAAAAGAAAGATTAAAACTAAGGGGGTGACAGAAATGAAATGAATTTTTAAAAAAAGAAAGAAAGAAAGAAAGAAAACCACCAACGAATCGCCAAGCTAATATGGCTAGGCCAGGTGCAACAAAAATCAGGCTAGTGTGTCCAGTGCCTTGAACGTCAGCAGCACGAGATCAGCCAGGACAGGGCAGGTCAGTTGCTACTGAGCCAGAGGCAGAGAAAACACAGCTGGATTTTCAATTTCCAGGTGGTGTAGCAGGCAGAACTGGGTGTTCACCAAAAAAAAAAAAAAAACGTTGTCCTTCCACTTGGAAACCAAACAAACTGAATCTTTCCACAGTTAAAACATCCCAGAAAGGACCTTTATGATGTCATCTCTCTCCCTGTGATCCAAGTAGAAACAAGTAGTTCTATGGGATAGAACCAATTCGGCCACAGAAAACCCCATCAGATGCCCCACTTGGCCTAACAAGTCCAAAAGGACACTGCTTCCTTCACAAGCACACACACTCACCTCCAACCCTGCCCCAGTGATTCGGGTGTGTCGGAATTACTCGAAGAGAGACCCCAACCAAGAGATCTGCTCCAGTCCTCCACTAATCCAGTGATCCCTTTATCAGCCTTAGAACCTGCAGGTGCTGGTTCACACCAGGTGGGCCCTTTAGCCTGGACAGCCAAGCATAGCTTTTGCTTCCAACTGAAATGAAATCTGCCATTTTGCTCTTTGGAACAAAGCAGTGGATGTAACGGAGTAAGCAATAAGACCAAGAACTCTCACATTTCACCCCAGAAGCAGTTTCTGAAGGCAGAAATGGGGGCCCCAACAGTGCCCAGGTCACATTAAGCTGAGTGATGAGGGAGGGAAGAGAGAGAGGATGGACCTAAATGGAAAATGGCCAAGCCAGCAGGGAAGAAAGCTCAAAAGCAAATGAGCAGCTCAGCCTCTTTCAAGCTGAAAGCCCCCTCCCCTGCCCCATCTCTCCTGGTACCCATGGTGTCATTCACTGGCCAGGTGCACAAGCCTGGATTAGATGCTCTTCCAAAGCTGAGACTCCATCCATCCAGCTTTCCTCCTTGACTGAGTCCTCCCTCTACACCTGCTCCTGTTCCTTGCCTCTACCCCATCCCACCCCACTGTCTCCCTTTCTGATCCACTTTGCTGGTGAGCGCCCTCTTCCCTCATGCTCTTTGTTGTCCCACCTGTCTCTAACCCCTTCCCTTGGGTGATCAAACCCAAGTGGCCTTCCCTGGGACCTCCTACAGAATGCCTGCGGATTTTCTCTCCTTGAGCACCTGTCAAAATTTCACTCCTTGCCAGGAGTCTTTCTGTCCCTCTCCCAATACCCTGACCCTCTGATCAGATGTTACCTGCCACTCTGTAGTGAGTCTGTCTCATAAGCATACAACCATGCACTTTAAGTTTCCTCAGATTTCCACCCCTGACCCCCCAGTACACAAACATATTTTTCTTTTGCCCCATTTAAGCCACCTAGAAGATCGTGGGTGAGTTCCCAACTTTGCACTCCTAACACCCCATTTTCTCTTTTGTTTCCTCCGGCTAGGTCAACTGCAGGCCACAAAAATGGAAAAATGTGCAGCTATGTTCTTAGACTCCTGCTCTCAATCCCCTGCAAAAAGGTATCGTTTTCTACCCCTCCACATGTGGCCAACCCCTCCCCACCCCTGTCCTGACATCCCCCATTTCCCTCCTTTACCCCTCACCACCTCAACACCTCCTGGCTCCCGCCTGCCCCATCTGACTCAACCAATGGATGCTGTGTCCAAAGACGACTTCTCCAATCTTTCTGTCAACAATATTTATTAAGCATCCACTATGTATAGAGTGAGATTTAGTAAGACTTCCACTAATTAGCTCAGAAACAATTCAGTTCTCGGTGTATTTCAACAAATAATTATGGCACACCCGTGTCAGGCACTGTCTGGGGGACATGAGTGAGATCACCTTTGCCCTCAAGGAACACGCCATCTGTTTGAGAAGGACTGCAAACAAACATGGTGTGTTGCGATAACCACAAGAGCAGCAGAAACAAATTGCTATGGAATGGTACTTAGGCGGGTTTTCAAACGGTGATTTTTGCCATTTTACATGGGTCAGGTTGTGATTCCCAGTTTTGCTTTTTGTTCAAATATGATCTCCCTTCTCGCTGACAATAGACATTCTTGCCTACAGATTCAACAGCAACGGTCAGTCTGGAGCTCTTTGTTGATCTAGATGGCTTCCTCCAAGACAATCTTCTTGTCTACTGAGATCCTTGGCAAAAATAATCACAAACTATCCCATGACAGCTCTCACACGATTTTAACCATTGTGAATTTCTAGTCTGATCCACTAGGTCACAAAATAAATCCAATGGCTGATAAATTCCTGGCCCCATGTCTAATTTGATCCCGTCCTTCACAGTGCTCAGCAGTGGCATGAATACTGTTATTACTCAGTCCCTAGTTACCAAATGAACCAAAGTATATCTGAATGAAAATGTTATCATCCAAGGTCTGTAAACAGACTAGCCTGAAATCTCAGCTGCAAGGCCAAATGTCTGAGTCACCAGTAATGGGGTACATCAATCACATACCTCCTGATGTAATGCACTGAGAAGGAGACAACGTCATTTCTACGGTATTCTAACCAAAACGTACAACTTCAGTGTAGTCATTAGAGAAATAACATACAGGGCCGGCCACAGTGGCTCACGCCTGTAATTCCAGCACTCTGGGAGGCCGAGGCGGGCGGATCACAAGGTTAAAAGATCAAGACCATCCTGACCAACATGGTAAAACCCCATCTCTACTAAAATAGAAAAATTTGCTGGGTGTGGTGGCTCATGCCTGCAGTCCCAGCTACTCAGGAGGCTGAGGCAGAATTGCTTGAACCCAGGAAGCAGAGTTTGCAGTGAGCCAAGATTGCTCCACTGCACTCCAGCCTGGTGCCTGGAGACAGAGCAAGACTCTGTCTCAAAAAAAAAAGAAAAACAACATACAAGCCAGAAGTGAATGGCTTTCTATGAAATACTAGCCAGTATCAAGGTTGTGAAAAGCAAGATTGTGGTACTATTTCAAAGGCTGGTAAGAGCACATGACAACCTGTGATCCCGGATGGGATCCTGAACCAGAAAAAGGATGTTAGTGAGACAATTGGCAGAATTTGAATACAGTCTGTCAGTTCTGGTATTGCATCGATGTTAATTTCCTGGTTGTGATCACTGTGCTGTGGTTATTTGAAGAATCTGGGTGAAGGACATTTGGGAATGCTTGGTCTAACCTTCGTTAAGTTTTTTGTAAGTGTAAAATTATTTCAAAAGTAATTTTTTCCAAAAAGTCTTAGTTACTGGTTGGGTGCCAGTGATAAGATACTTTGAAAACCTAATTTTCAGTGTTTTTTAGTTAATAATTCGGTTCTAACAGGACTCTTCCATCATTCTCATTTATTTTGCAAATCAATCAAGCAGAATGGCTTTTCCTATACTGTTATTTGAGTAATCAGAAATCACTTTTATTGAACACAACAATATTACATAATTCAAAGTTTTTTTTTTAGAAGCAACTGGGCTTGTGACCAAAACATGCCCAAAATGTTCACTCCCTGCCACCTTTACCCCCCACCACAGGCACCACCAAAACAGTGACCATTTAGGAAGCTCAACTTTAGTTCTCACAGAAAGTTCCTGAGGACTTAGACATTGCTGCTTCTCAGAAACATTCTTCTAATAGGTCATCATTTCATTTGGGGTTTATGTTTTTTCGGTTCTATTTTTCTTTTTCTTTTCTTTTTTTTTTGTGACAGTCTCATTCTGTCACCCAGGCTGGGGTGCAGTTGGGTGATCTCTGCTCACTGCAACCTCCACCTCCCAGGTTCAAGTGATTCTCCTGCCTCAGCCTCCTGAGTAGCTGGGATTACAGGTGCCTGCCACCACACCCAGCTAATTTTTGTATTTTCAGTAGAGATGGGGTTTTACCATGTTGGCCAGGCTGGTCTCAAACTCCTGACTTCACGATCCACCCACCTCAGCCACCCAAAGTGCTGGGATTACAGGTTTGAGCCACTGTGCCCGGCTGGTTTTGTTTTTCTTTTACAGCATCAAATACCTCCTTTTCATCCAATAAGTTCTTAAATAAAAGACCTAAATGGACTTTAGTGATTTCACTCAAGAATTCTTCAAAAGATGATCTCCAGGGAAGTCCGTATAGACTGAGGAAAGCTTATTAGAAGATCCATACATCATTTGCTGAGTCTGGAACTTTAGACAAGTCATCAAACAGGATCAAAACTCAGTTTCCTTCATCAGTAAAATGGGAATAAATAACGTCTACCCTACTTCACAGCACTAAGCATCATCAAGAGACAATATGAGTTACATATTCTAATAGGGAAAGAATTGTCCATTTCCTCTCTAAGAAACTGAGGCAGAGATCCCTGTCAACAAATTCATACAGTGAGCTGAGTCCAGAGCCCAGAACTTTTTATCTCTACTCTAGGCTTCCACACACCAAATCAAAGACACCTCACTCAGAGAATACACAACACAAGTCACTTCTCCGAAGCCGAAGCAAAATCCCATGAGGAAAAATTCCTAACAGATGAGTCTGCTCCAACTTTAAGTACATGTTCAAGATCATATCCATCAGAGGTAACAGGAGGCATAGTGGGATAAAGTGAATTAATTTTATTCCACCATAAAGCAAGAACCTCCAGACAGCCTTTAGTTCTCTCCCCGAGTAATGATCTTGCATTCCCTCCAGTGCTGGATAAAGGCAGTCTCAGTCTGCAGCCCATTAGGTGCAGAGAGAAATGTAGAGTAAGCAGGAACCCTTAAAGGGATGCCATTCATGTGAACATCAAGTTTTTATATTAAATTCTTCTCTCTAACATACCAGTAGCAAATTGGATTACTGACTTTAAAGTACCTTTAAAAAATTAAATGCAGATTTCTAATTCCCAGGGTTATAGTGATTATAGCATCTGATCTCTACATAGTCTCCTAGTAACAGAAATAAAGGATTCGGTTGTTCTAGATCGGGAAAAAATCAGCTAAATGATAACAACTGTCACCTTTATGTCAACAGCCCCCCTCTCCAGGGGATTAAACTAGTGTAACAAATTTAGAAAGTTCTATATCTTTGGTTCCCCTCTCTTTGGGCTAGGACTCAGAAAACTCAGGGTGACACTTTACTGAGCTGAGGGCAAAGGAAGCTAGTCAGATCATCTTCATCTTGATGACTCTCATTTCTTTTGTATTTACATTTTGAGTAGTGACACTTATTTAACAAAAGCAAGAACAGAAAGGTGTGTTGACTGTTCACACAGCTCCTATAATTCCTGAGGTCACAAAAAAGGAGATCTCTTTGTACAGTATCTAGAAATGACGATTAAGAAGGTAAGTTATCTACAATATTCCACACAGAATCTGAATCAGAATTCTCTCTTATGGGATCTAATTGCTTACTCTTCAGTTGTTGAAATCTATTTTAATGACACTACCTTTAAAAAGCTATATTCATTACATTTTCTTCCATTGGAATTAAGAAATAGCAAACTATGTACACGAGCACACACACATAGATGTATTCCTTAATCATAGACAATGCTAGGGGCAGTGCAGGCAATGACAGAGTAGAGGTTCTACAATTAGGTTGCCAAAGACCAAAACCTGGCTCCTTCCTAGCTGTACATTTCTTAACCTTATTACTAACCTCAGTTTCTGCAAACTGGGGATTAATATAAACACCTGTCTCATGGGAGTAGTCATGAGGATGAAGTGAAATATTCCAAGGAAAGCACCCGGAACAATGCCTTACACATAAATTTTGATGACTGCTATCTAGAGAAAGGGAGACAAAGATATGCATCCACATTAAAGTGGCTGGAAACCGAGGACAGCCAGCTTCCTCCTCCAATACGGTCTCTCAGAGTTTCTTTCCTTTGCCTTAAAACAATTCCCTCCAAAGCAATGCCCATTCCACTCTTGCAAACTCAACTCAACCTCTCTGGGTCAACTTTTCTCAACTGAAAAGTGAAAGATCTGAACTTGATCATCTTAAAAGTCCCTTCCAGTTTTTCTTTAAGGATATACATTCTGAGTCTGTTCAAAGACACTATAAGCAAGGTGAGACAAGACACCCTGGCAATGCTAAAAAACATTACTGCGCTTCTATTACCCCAAGTAAGAAAGGCGAGGACGTCTACTACCTCCAGTAAGAGGAAATGCACATCAAAGATCAAGCTACATCATTAAAGTAGACAAGCAATACCCATTCTCAAACATTCTCCTGTGGGTTTGCCTTGTTAGTTCTAAACAGTTAGTTTCTCTGTGAGACTCCAGGCTAGACTCTGAAATTAGGTAGCCCTTTATAATTTGCCTTAATTATGTGGATTTTTAGGGGGGAAAACCCCCTCAAGTGTAAAGGCAAATAGTCATTGAGAATTCTGGGACTATAAGCAACTACACAGAATTCAGATAAGAGTATGGATTGAACATATATTTATTTAACATAGAAGCTCACATTTTACCAATGAAAGCAAGTTATAATCCCATGAATCCGACATCTGAGTCAAAAGTACAGAGTCAAGAGGTGGAAAATGTCAGCAAGTGTGGGCTGTATCTCCTTAGCAGAAACTCACTGGAGCAAACTCTATTGGCTGAGCATGCCGAGTATGACAATGTTGGAGGTTTAGCCGTATTTCCTAGGAACAGGCCACATACAGATTAGACAGAACATCCCAAAAGTGGGTGGGATTGTTACTTTCATTCTCTCACAACTGAGAATAAATGCCCAGGCAGTCACATACACATCTCACGCATGAGAAAAGTGGAAGCCCTTTCTGTCTCAGGCTACCAGGAAAGCACAAAGAGTTTATTTCTGGGTTTCTTTGCTTGTCCTTGTGTTTGGGTTAGTTTTTTATTTCAACAGTCGGTCTAATTCGTAAGGATTTGCAGGGGCTGGACCGTCAAAGCAAATCTTCCCAGACATTTGGGTGGATAAGCAGCCTGTTAACCAGGCGGCTACCTGGGTCTCCCAGCCCATGTCAGACGGTTCTGCCTACGTTTCTGGAACTGTGCACTCCTGGAGCCGGAGACTTGGCCAACCTTAAAGGAGTTCAGAATCTTCCAAACAGCTAAGTTGAGTGTTGTGCCTAATCAGGGATCTTCTTTAATATGGATTCATCCCCCTGGTTGTGAAATTGGAACCCAGAGTAAGAAATACCACCTATACATGCAGTGCCACACCTCCTTATTCCTACCCAAATCCAGCAGCCAACTCCAATCTCAGTTCCCTGGACTCCACTTCCAGGTCTAGCTAAGGGAGGCAGGGTTAGCCAAGCACTTCCCCAGCCATTTTCTCTCGTAGTGGAAGCCAGAAGCCTGCCATTCTCCACACTGAGCCCCTCCCGTACTCCAAGCAAGACTCAGTTCCCACACCTACGCCTGGGCACACGTGAGTTCCCATGCACACACGGACCACAGAGGGCCGGGGGAGATACTCCAGTAGCCACTCTTACACGCAGAAGTGGGTCCAAACCCAGGAAAACGAAAAAGCAAGCTGGGGGGAAAAGGAAAAAGAAAACTAAAAAATAGATATGATGGTTTTGCCCACACTGTAAGACAGGTTAGCCAAGACATACCTTTTGACTAGGACCTTGCAGCTGGTCATTCTTGGGACTATCAGTGAGGTGGGTAGCCTTCTCCATCGCCCCAGGGGTCTTGAGCAGTGTTGCTTTGGTTTATTTCAGGAAGTACTATTGGAAACATAAAACAAAGCGCCTGGCGGGCACTATAAAAAAATATAGAAGAAATACGGTAGGCTTCATCATCCAACGGGTATTGGTATGTTTCTTAACAGGGGCAAGGGGAGGGGAAACACACGGTGAGGTCTCCCTCTTTCTTCCAGGAGCACAGTCTTGGCCTCAGGTGGTGGAGTCGCTGCTGAGCCCGTGATGTTCTGCTTATGTTCCATCCCTGCATTTGGAAGTCGTTCTTTGCCAGGAGGAAAGTGAGGAAAAACCAGCAATAACAAAACAGCAGCTCTACTGATGGAGGAGGAGGAGCCCAGGAGGCGGCTGGTCAGGGCCCGGGTGTGGAGGGAGGCCAGGCATAGACGCCCCGACTTCTCTGGAACTACTGACATTTTCTCGCAAGCAGAGAGGAAGATGGAAAGGTCAGGGAGGAGAATGAGGGAGGGGTCTGCGCAGGGAGCCACAAACTCTGTGGGGCACAGAAAGTGCGACCACCTCCCATTGAGGAAATTCTCCCCCAGTGGTTTGCCTGTAAACAGGATATTATTTCAATTTCTTTGATTTCCCTTCTCTCTCTCTCTCTCTCTCTCTCTCTCAAAAAAAAAGTCTGATTCTAATAATAGCTACAATATATAAATAATAATGTTTTAATGTTATTGGTTCTTTGTTTCCAAACCCAAAGTTCCTCTTCTCTTCCTTTTGCCAATAAATATGAAAATTGAGGAAATCAACTCTGCTCCTGTCAAAAAGACCACCTTCCCCTCAAAAAAGAGACAATCCACCTAACTTCCTATTTCTACGGAAAATAAATAGCACATCACGATGCCATCTCTTGGAAGAACGTTCATTCTGCTCTTTTGCTTTGTTTCAGTAGTCTGTGCTTCTGTTGTACATACCCAAAACAGAGGGCTGGGGGAGGGATAGAGGGGCACATGGGAGGTGAGGGGGAAAAAAGCAAGGGTAGAGGTAAAACCTAAAGTTGTCTTTCATTTAAAAAAAATATATCAGAACCAGCACAATGACCAAAGTCAGAGGGGGATGGCTAACTGGCCAGAGAGTCTGTTCCATGGGTTTAGCAACTGCCCTTTTTATCTGCTGTGGGCGAACCCCGGCCACTGCGGCGTCCTCGACAGGAGCGAGGCTCTTCCAAATCGTCCTCATCAAAGCCGTGGAAAGTTGACGTGTCACTTTCTGACGTGGAACCGAATAAGTCCTCCGTGGTGCGTGCTGCGGCCGCTGCCTCCTTCTCCTTCCTGCCTTCTCCTCCCAAATGAGCTGACATGTATGATGAATATATCAGCACATGGGTTAAGCAATAGACAGCATTATTAATATTCTCATTATGATATTACAATGTTATTCTTAATAGCAAGATATTAAACCATTTTCACACCAAAGGGATTAACCAGGTGCATCACCTGGTGGCGGGGATTTGGGACAACGCAAACATTTCCAGGGAAGAGGCTTCCCCCACTCCCCAAAAAGGCATTGCCTCTACCACAGTACATATGTCCACAGCTTCAGACAGCAAAAGATCCACCCATGATCTTCGGCTGTGCGTACACACAGACGCTTGCATGCTCACTCGACCCTGCCCCAGACAATGATTCTCCTTGGTGATTTCTAAGCCTGGCTGGCATTTCTTTGGTGTTTTCTGTTGGTATTTCTTTGAACAATGATTGTCCTTCACTTTGACAGTCAGCTCTACAAAGGTATTACTGTCAGATAACCCATTCAAGGTGGTTAAGCCTCCATTCATTTTTATTTTTACCCGCTTCTAATCCCATCCTTTCAGAACCCTTTCAATTCTCCCCTTACACCATGTAGTTCATTTGCACTGAAAGCAAAAGGAAGTTGGAAAGTCTGATAAGTGGCAGGTGATAAAAGGGTTTGCTTTCTTTAACCACTGGAGGAAATTGCTGTGAACTGTATCCACATACATGTGTGCATGCGCACACCACACACACACACACACACACACACACACTCTCCAGCCACCAACCGAGCCCGGGTATTGGTTACTCCAGAAAGTTCACTTGTCAAGTCTCACTCAGAGCACTAAGAAGGTGAGAAATCGGAGTAGAAAAGTCCTAATAAAACAGAGCATTCTGAAATCTGTAAAACTCAGGTTTAAACTTTTTCACATTCTAAATGAGCCCCAGGACTGTTCTTGTATAAGGGAATGATACAATCCACATGGTGTCAATTTCAGGAATCTCATTTTTTCCCAGGAAACAGCTGTGGTGGGGTAGATGGGAGCGGGAAGGAAGCTCTTCCAAGCTCCGTACTCTTCTCTGGAAGGACCGTAGGGAGGCCACAGGGAAGTACTCGCCCACCTCCCTTAACAAGCACATCTCATCTCATGGGCCAATGACACCTGTTTCTTCCCAAGGTGTCAACTATTTCAGGAATACCAGAGTCAGACCTTGTCTAAATGATCCACCAAAACTAATCATCGGCAAATGCAATGAGAATATCTAGAAATGGCTGGTAGAAAATGGCTCCCAAGCCACACAGCGAGGAAAGCTGAGAGAAGATTGTGGAAAGAGCTTTGCATAGAAAAAATGAATTCCCACTCCTGACATCCCATGGCTGGGATTCTAGCACCCCATCTTTTGTAAGAAAGGAAGGGGAGATATACATTATAGCAGTTTGCAAGAAGAATTCTCAAGCTGCCCCCACAACCCATCCAAACCTACAGCAGTCCATAACATGTTGCTCAGAACATCACTCCAAGTGACCTTGCCTCTGGAAGTAGAGATTTCATCTGATTGCCTGCTTTTAAAAAACACGGCATTGAATTTTATCTTGTTTTTTTTTTTTTTTTAGAAGCATCTAAAAAAAACAGAGCCCGTTATCACAAGGGCCCTGTCTTCTAAGCTAGCATCAGTAGAGTAAAAAATTCAACATCAGGTACCATGTTTGGACAGTAAATGAACTGACAGAATTGCACAAATGGACCACCCTGTCAGGATCCTTGAGAGTTACACATTGAGGGTTGCATGCAGCAGAAACCACAGTCCTTTTTAAATTGCTGATTTGCTACTCAAGCCAGTCTTAAGCTCTAAACAGCCCTACCATCAAAATATAAAACGGCTAAAGCTAAGGTTGGCAGACCCAGAGCAAGGAAAGAACTGAGTTGCTACAGTAAACCATGAGGGGGTCATCTCAGTCCTTCTCTGGGGACTGGGAGTGAAAAAGACACTGGATAGAAAGGTAAAAAGGAGAAATGACTTCTCACTGCTGGAACCAAGCATCCAATCAAACTGTTTCACCTACTCATATCAGGAGCTGATGATACTAAAACTGAGGTTTAAATTCCTTCCTCCCTGCCTTGCACTGTGGTCTGGCGATGACATAATACAACATGAAAAATGGAGGGTACCAACCAACCATGGCCAGCCAAAAATAATGGTTTGGTTAGAACTAAAAAACAGAACAACAGCTTGAACGTAACCTGAAGCCCTGAATTCATTTTAAGAATGAAGGAACAAGACCAGAAGTCTCTTTTTGTTACTTTAGCCTTTAGATAGGTTGAAATATAAACATACACATTGAATCAACCCCAGATTGGCCCTAGGAATGCCTGTCCTTTTGCCTCATTGATCTATCAGGGTCTCTTTTGCTCCATTTTAGAAAATGAGATGAGCGGCCGATGGAGGTGGTGTTTATGCAGCTGGCCAGGAGCCCAGGGACCTCTGACTCCCACAATCCAAGATGTGGTTGCTCTCCCAATACTCATGTTTCCATACCACACTCTTTGGGTTTGCCCTAGGCACTTCCACAGAACAAACACATCTTTTTGTTACATGTGCATCATCCACTACGAGAAAGCACGTTGCCTTCTCTCCAGGCATTTCCACCCTACCTCGCTGTGGTCTGTAAAAACACACACAAAGAAATAGGCACCTCATGGAAAGGCCAGACACAAATACAAAACTTCTCTTTGCCCTTTTCCCTGGATCCTAGGGCACAACTTTTGGTTCTTGAGACCCAAAGAGGAAAAATATCAGGACGAGCTGAAAACCCCTCTCCACTAGAAAGCGTCACTGCCATCGCATCCCTCTCCAGTCTCCACCACCACAAGATGGAAGAGGAATGCAAAAGGAGCATTCCTGGTCTACGAGCACCCAGTGCGGGAAGGGGTCACACTCACCAGAGCGTCCACAGTCTGCGCAGGACACCAGCTCTTCGGGTCGCCCACTCTTCTTGTTCATGTTGGAGCCCCCCAAGCAGAAGTCACAGTAGTTATTGGGAATGACTGTTCCATCTGGTCCTTTCTGGGCTGTGGGAACATTTAAAACATTCCAATTTCAGGCTTACGTGAGTTTCAACTGCCCCTTCTCTTCCTACAGTGTGGTAGAATTTGCTCCAGAAGGAATTTGAAGTTTTATTATAACCGAGTTGGCAAATTGGGCTAGGCTTTCTTTTGAACCCTTTCGGGTTTAATGGTACTAATGTCTTTCAAGTCATCTAGAGTTTATTTTCATTTTTAGAGTATTTCCCAACTCTATGTTATTGTGGAAATCACCCTGCTCCTCTGATTGCATCCTTAGATGATCAAACCATCTGGAAGGGGTACTGGTCAAGTGAACTACTCTCAGCCCTCAACAATCAGGCCCGCAGGCCCAGGCTCCAGGCATCAGATGGAAACCACACACCGCAGTGTGAGAAGAGGGAGAGGAAACAACCCGTGTCTGAACCTTGTCATTGGGAATGGTGCTTTTGTTTAATAGATATTCCTCCTGTCCCTGAAGTGGAGAACAAAGAAGCACCGATGGGTGGTCATTTCCAGGAATAATACCAAAGACGTTCTTGGGAACTTTGACAGACATCTTGGTAGGGCATCAGTCTCCCTGAAGGGGAGCCCCATCTCCCTGAAGCCCAGACGCATTGATTCTGGGAAGTACCCAAGACCCCAAGTGCCTAGAATCAGAACTAGACCCAGGTTTCTAGGCGCTTGGCTCAGCCTCATGCCAGAGATGGATTAAACGGTGAGTTACTGAGCATATCTCTAGGCTTAAGACCATCGCAAGTAACTGAACACACTGACTTCAAAACCCACTCCTGCAGAAGCCCTTAAACAAAGGCCAAAATAACTCTTGGAATATAACCTTGAAAACAAAGCCTGTGAGGAGAACAGCACCTGTGTTCTCAAGCACCAAAATCATTCCGTTTCCAGCGGCTGCTTGAGAAGTCTTGAACAGGTTATTTGCAGAGCGAGAAATGCCTCCCTTTTTCTCTGTTTCTCCTTCCCCATTGCAGGCATTTCTTTGTCACATTCACACTGCCTGTTCGTGACTAAGAAGAAATGTCTCTCTTTTTATGGGATCAGCCTTAACCACCCAAGTATCTTCCTCCTCTCCAGACCCAGTGTCTGCTGCTGCCTTTCATTATTAACTGGCTAATGTTAATCAGGCTCCCATAGGGCACAAATCTGAAAAAGGTAGCAGAGATGTGAGCAGAAATACCATCCAGACAGTAAGTGATAAACAGATTCACCCACTTTAATGTGATTCCCTCTGGCCTCCACTTCCTCCATGCCTCTGCTTTGCCTCCAGGAATAGAAAACTTACCTGAGGAAGGCGGAAGACAAAAGCTAGCAGAATTTCATTATAGAGGGTTAATCCATTTATCAGTTGCTATTTGGATTGTTTAATTGGTTTCTAAGTCATTGATTTCCATCTTCAGGGAGGCAGACAATTCTCTGCAAGAAGTGTTAGCTGTTTGGGGGAGACAGAGGAGCTGGCCACATTCTGGGGTCTGTTGAGTGTGGGCTTTTTTTCATCAGTCCCTGGATCTCAAACACATCTGCATGGCATACAGAATGGTTTTGCAAATAATCTCCAAAAAGAAGTACATCCGCAAAAATTTTACTCTGCCTATAAAATTTTCATTACCCAAACCCAGAAGTACCAGTGTCCCTTTCTCCCTTCTCCCTCAATTGCCATCTTCGTCATTTTTAGAATTCTCTTAAGAAAATCCAAGCATCTCTAGGAAGCAAATAAACTCAGGATTTCCTCATCAAGAGATGGATGGAAATCTATCAAATGATGAACAGAAAGAAGAGATCGGGTATACTATACTTTTAGGGGCTGAGAGTAAACCTAAGTTAAGTGTCACAATTGATATGAACTAGATATAAAATGTGGAGATGCCAGTTGTTACTTAGGTAGTTTCCTGCATAGAAGGCAATCAAAGAATCCCATATATATCATTCCATAAAAACGTGCAGGGGGCCTATTCTCTCAGCTGTCTCTCTCGTATACTCTTAGGGACTTCCTATAACGTTCAATTTCCTCCCCATCCACAAGATCTTTAAGTAACCAAAGAATCTCATTTTCTTCAGCACACTGTATCCCTTGTGATGTCTGAGGATGATGAAGTAAAATATAGAGTATAAAAACTTGCAGATTAATTCTTGATATGGTTTGGCTGTGTCCCCACCCAAATCTCATCTTGAATTGCAGCTCCCATAATCCCCACATATCATGGGAGAGACCCAGTGGGATGTAACTGAATCATGGGGGCAGGTTTTTCCCATGTTGTTCTTGTGATAGTAAATAATTCTCATGAGCTCTGATGGTTTTATAAAGGGCAGTTCCCCTGCACATGCTCTCTTGCCTGCTGCCATGTAAGACATGACTTTGCTCCTCCTGTACCTTCTGCCATGATTGTGAGGCCTCCCAAGGCAGGTGGAACCATGAGTCCATTAAACCTCTTTCTCTTTATAAATTACCCAGTCTCAGGCATTTCTTCCTAACAGTATGAAAATGGACTAATACAATTCTATACAGCATTCACTACCAACAGACCATTGGTAGAACACCCTATTGAATCATGAACTCTAATACTACAAGAAATAAAAACAATCAGAAATGATGTGGTAGAGCTAAGCAGGCAGTGATGGAGAAATTGAGCCTTTGCAAAAAGACCAAAGGAAAAGAACTGAATTCATCTGAAGAAGGGAAGCTTATGAGGAGATGGAGTCAGAGCAGCATCCTGTTGGCCATACGAAGTTCCTGTCCAAGGAGTGAGGGAGGGTCTAAAATCCCATGTGTAGGCCCTGGTGTGTGCAGTGTGACATGCCAGGTCATCTGGGGTGTGGAAGTACATTTTTCATCTGGCAATGGCCCTGTATAGAAAATGATCATGAACAGCTATGTTTTATTTTCAGAGAAATCATTTTTGCTTCAGTTTCTACTCTCTTCTTATAACAGTGAGCTCAAAGCATCCTTTCATTGTGGTCAGATGGTGTGGAATGGACTAATTGCTTATGCACCTGATTTCCTTACGCTTTTTGGTACTTGGGGTTAGTTTCAGAGCAAGGGTTCTCCCATGGAACTGTCTCAAACTTCAGCTAAAACATATCAGTCATGCTCTGGGGAGGACACTGTCGATATTGCCATCGTGACCCTTGTTTATACATGCGTCTGTGTGCCTCCTCTCCCCATTTTACATTATCATCTCTACATATTAAACAGATCTACTCCTTCAGGTCAGAGACCAGCTCTAACTTGCTGCTGGAACACCTACAATCTGTGGGATGAATGACTTAGAGAGCAATGGCAGGGATGTTAGTGGGTGGCACAGTGATGCCCCTGGGACCACTGGATATCATTCACTGCTCCTGGTTGATTTCCCTACCGGAGGAGAGCTGGTCCATGTGTGCATGAATTGGCCTGTCATGTGGTCTCACAGCCAGCCTCGAGAGTACACAGAAGTCAGCAGCCAACAGCCCCGCGTCACTGGAAGAATAACACTGTGCCCCTCTTGTGGGAGGTGAGACATCTTCTATGCCAAACACACAAGAACATGTAAGACAATGATTCATTGTCTCTTGAGGAGAGGATACCAGGTCATGCCTATCCACTCAGCCTCCCTTTTGTTCAACTGCATATCGAGAAGAAAAGGAAGCAGACATTGATCACAAAACTGTGGCAAATCTTCTGCTGGATGCTTTATACATGTTATTTCATTGATTCTTGCAAAAACTTTGTGAGGTAGGGATTTTTTTTGACAATGCAGTAACTGAACTCCAAAGAGATTAAAGCGCTGGCTCCAAGCCTCGTTTGGGTTCTTCGAAGGCAGGATTCACCCCCAGCTTGTCTGTGTCCCCAGAGATTGTGCCTCTAATCACACTTCTCTGCCTCCTGGGAAGTCCAGAGGCAAACACTTTCCAGCCATACCTTGCATATAAAATGTTTCATAAATCTCTTTAGAGTCAACCTGATTTGCCCAATATGATATTTACAAAGCCCAAAGCGATAAAAATTATTGAGACTGGCCTGATAAAAGTGGAAATTCCCTTTGAACTTAAATTTAATGTCCCTACTACAGTAATCCATCCTGGGTGATCCTGTTTATTGTAATCTACTCTATGAAAACACTTCTCTGGAGAATTCCAGAGGCTCATGAAGGAATTTTTTTAAGTAAAGCTCACATCATGGCTAGATTGGCCTATGGCCTGACCCAGCCATGAGCAATTTCCTGGTACCGTATATGAGATCATTATAAAGAGGATTTTACTATAAATAGAAAGCTCGCCTAGACCTTGCAAGTGGGATTTAAATAGAGATTTTGCTTCTGCTTATGGGAAATTGAGTCCTGCTTTATAGAGTAAGATGACAGGGAGGGCAAAGACCCGAGTGGTATCTCTATGGCAGCATCTGCGATGATGGATGTGGTTTTCTGTTGATTAATGTTCATGGACCGAGATCATATAAGAGATACAAGTAAGTTGCTGAGAAAATAAAGTGAGCCTTAAGAGTTTAGAAATCTACCTGAGGGAGATAACTCTAAAAAGCTCAAAGAAAAAAATGGAAATCAGGAACAAATTTCATGAAGAGAGTAGAAAAAAAAATAACAGAAGGCAGGGAAGAGCATTCAGATAAATCAAAGCAAGAAAAAAGAAAAGAAAAGCTTCACACAGTCCCACCACCACGCTCAGGGAAGGGAGAGCGGGCATTCTGGAAAGGCATTAGTGCACACTACAGGGTTTTTGAGTTAAATCAGGTTTTATGTCTACGGCAAACAAGGCTCCAAATCTTCCATAAAACTACCACCCAGGCAGTGCCGCCTCTCCCCCTCCGAGTCTGATCTCTGCTGTGATGTGGCTGCCACTCACAGAAAGAATGAGTGGCGGGGACAAACCAGCCGTCGGCAACAGCCACTCATCTGGGTTCTGCTGAGACCGGAGCTGTGTCCCAAGCATCCTAGGGAATAGGAAGCAGGCCAGAAGTTCAGGCTCCTCCTTGGCACGTGCACAAAAGCATGGCCTCACAT